GAAAATGTTGCCATTTTCTCCAACAGGATTTTATGGGAAGTTCTCTTTTGCCTGCAAGTTATGGTCAGATAGAGAAGTCTCTGGAAAGGAATTTACCAAGAGTTCTATTGAAGAGCAAGCCACAGACACAGGAAGCCCAGAGGAGCAGGGCCTTTCTGTAAGGCTGGTTGGCCAGAGACGGAGCAGGGACCAGCACCCTGGACAGCTCCCTGCCAGCCAGGGAAGGGAATCCTTCCCAAGTTCTGCCAAGGCTAGGGCCCTAGCCTTTCCCTGAAGCAGGGGGTCCTCAACTCCCAGAGATGCCTGCTCCCTAGTTACTGGGGCTGCTGATCAAAGGGGTAGGGGGTTGCCTTCTGAACTGGAAGTTTGAGGGTGAGGGAGTTTAGTGTCCCAGGAGCTTCTTTAGGGACCAGCCAAGCCTTCCTCCTCCCATGGATCTTGATCTGTCCCTCTCCCCTACACTGCCAGGTGTGGCTGCCTTGCAGTTGGAGCAGCAGAGGCACAGTGAAGCACAGGAAATAGGAAGGCATCATGAAAATCACAAGACAGGTGGTGTTGGGACCTTAGGTAAGTGACATGATTTCTCTCTGCCCAGCTTCCTCATCAGTAAGACAGGGAAAAGAACACCTGCACTTCCCCAGGACTGAGTGAAATTAAATAACACAGCATACATAACACCCTTGGCACAGAGTCCTCAATAAATGAGTCTGTTTCCTGCCATTGGTGAACGGAGGACTGGAGAGTTGGGCATGATCTCAGAGATAACTTGGTTCCACGCTCAAGAAGAGTCATGAATTATGAGGGCCAGTGGGCTGGGAGAGGTGTCTGCACCTTGAAGTCTCTGGAAAAGTTTCCTTTCTCTAAGATTCCTCTAAGTTCTAAATTCTTCAGCCAATAGACAGAAAAACATCTGCTTTAAACCGTCCCCCCCCCCATTAAAGCAGACAGGGCAAACAATATATGCATAAATAACAATTGCTCTGCAGGCTGGAAGACTGACCCTTTATTTGTATTTATTTATTTAGTTAGTTAGTTAGTTATTATTTTTAATATAATTTATTGTCAAGTTGGCTAACATACAGTGTATACAGTGTGCTCCTGGTTTTGGGGGTAGATTCTTGTGATTCATTGGTTACATACAACTACTCAGTGCTCATTCCAATAA